TGTTACCGTTTGGGTTGCGGTAGAAATAGTTATTTAGATATTTTGCTCTTAAATCTTCTTTTAAAGTCTGTGTCAAACGGGAGAAGAAATGTTGTGGCATATCTACATGCAATACGAATCAGTGTGTACGAACACTGAAATTGAAACACTGAACAAACATGCAGTCCCTAGCGTGTAGATGCCTACCTATTGATATATTTGAAGCCTCGGTCCCAAATTAAAACAAGAGGTAGCTACTCTGCTATTGGACTACTTCAAGTTTCGAAACATTGTAGGTTTATCTCCTAATTGACTCTACTGCGGGGCCGAAATTAGGGGACGGGTGCTGTGATTGGTTTTCTCTACGATGGAACCAAACAAGGAGGGCCGTGTTGCTGGCTGCCTCCACACTTCATCTGAACTTGACGATACTGTGGTTAGTTTTCTCGACCATTGTACCTGCATGGGGGGCCTTGTGGTTGAATGTCTCTAGCGTGGTACCTGCCCGGGGGGCCTTGTGGTTGAATGTCTCTAGCGTGGTACCTGCCTGGGGGGCCTTGTGGTTGAATGTCTCTTGCATGGTATCTGCCTGGGGAGCCTTGTGGTTGAATGTCTCCAGCATGGTATCTGCCCGGGGGGCCTTGTGGTTGAATGTCCCTTGCATGGAACCAGCTTGGAGGGCCTTGTGTTTGAATGTCTCTTGCATGGTATCTGCCCGGGAGACCTTGTGTTTGAATGTCTCTTGCATGGTATCTGCCCGGGGGCCTTGTGGTTGAATGTCTCTTGCATGGTATCTGCCCGGGGGGCCTTGTGTTTGAATGTCTCTTGCATGGTATCTGCCCGGAGGGCCTTGTGGTTGAATGTCTTTAGCATTGTATCTGCCCGGGGGGCCTTGTGGTTGAATGTCCCTTGCATGGAACCAGCCCGGGGGGCCTTGTGGTTGATTGTCCGTCGCATGAAACCAGTTTGGAGGGCCTTGTGGTTGAATGTCTCCAGCATGGTATCTGCCCGGAGGGCCTTGTGGTTGAATGTCTCCAGCATGGTATCTGCCCGGAGGGCCTTGTGGTTGAATGTCTCCAGCATGGTATCTGCCCGGAGGGCGTTGTGGTTGAATGTCTTCAGCATGGTATCTGTCCGGGGGGCCTTGTGGTTGAATGTCTCTTGCATGGTATCTGCCCGGGGGGCCTTGTGGTTGAATGTCCCTCGCATGGAACAAGCCCGGGGGGCCTTGTGGTTGATTGTCCCTCACATGAAACCAGCTTGGGGGGCCTGACACACGTCTGGCTTCCTCCGGTATGAGGTTGTCAGAACACTCTGAAATGTACCAAGACAAAGCAGTGTTATCCTATAACTGACAATACAATTAGACATTTGCATGAGGTTGTCAGAACACTCTGAAATGTACCAAGACAAAGCAGTGTTATCCTATAACTGACAATACAATTAGACATTTCCATGAGGTTGTCAGAACACTCTGAAATGTACCAAGACAAAGCAGTGTTAGCCTATAACTGACAATACAATTAGACATTTCCATGAGGTTGTCAGAACACTCTGAAATGTACCAAGACAAAGCAGTGTTATCCTATAACTGACAATACAATTAGACATCTGCATGAGGTTATCTGAACACTCTGAAATGTACCAAGACAAAGCAGTGTTATCCTATAACTGACAATACAATTAGACATTTGCATGAGGTTGTCTGGACATTCTGAAATGTAACAAGACAAAGCAGTGCTATTATAGATTTCATTTGCATGCCGTTAATCCAGACTTGATAGCCATGGCAAAAGCAGGGACACTTCAAGATGTCAAAATGACGTCATACCCAGAACTTTGCGAAGTGTTTCTACACAGAGAGCATCAACACTTTCCCTTTGCAGCTTGTATTGTTTGTCAAAGTCTTCATTCAGAGGAACGTTGATCCGACCGATAAGCTCCACCCACGTATTCTTGGTGAAGCCCTTCAATTTAATCCCAACAGACGCCATTCGTTTCAGACCGTAAACGTTTTTCCAGTGCGTTTCCTTAGTAAAAAAATGATCTATATTTGACGGGTGCTCAACATCGTCACATATTCTGTACAAAGATACAAAATGTACATGCAGCCGGAGCGTGATGCCCACTGCTTCATATTCCTTCACAAGCCAAACATATCGTTCGGCACATTTTTCACATGGACTGTAGTTCTGAAATATTTCCATTGTCACATCATCTTGTATTTCTGGCAGGTTGTATATATAGTCAATAAGGTGATGCTCAGCATGTGAGTGTTTGTTTGAACTTCTAAATACTCGTCTGATCTTAATTCTGTTTACACCAACACAAAGAAATGCCACACAACAACATGGTCGCAAATGATTTGGTAGTCTTGTTGTCCAATAGAAGTCCAAAAATTCTTTCTTAAAAGTCCGCGAAGCATCCATGGTATTCAGCAGAGTGACGCGCTGTAGGAGAGATAAGTAGGAATTACGTCACGAGTCTTACATGTTTAGGGATAATAAAATTATACTGATCTCACTTTTCCTCGTTGTTTTGTGTTTGTTTGTTGTTCAACGCCAACTCAGCAATATTCCAGCTGTATGATAGCGGTCTGTAAAAAAATTGCGTCTGGATCAGACAAACCAGTGATTGACATCATGAGCATCTATCCACACATTTGGGATACGATGACATGTATCCACCATGTTTACAGTGGGATACACAGGTCGTGGTGTTCCCATTGCTCCTGTTGTTTTATGTATAAATTGAAAATGTTAACTTACCATTATTTTAATCTATTAAGATAATAATTAAGATAATACTTGACAACAATGACAACCCGCCTCCCACCCAACTACACCCACACCCACCAACACCCACATCGACACACCCACACACCACCCCCACACACACACACACCCACACCCACATCGACACACACCCACACACACACCTTCACACCACACAAACACCCACCCACACCCACCCACACCCACCCACATCCACATCAACACACACAAACACACACACAACCACACACACCCACCCACATCCACATCGACACACACGAGCACGCGCACGCGCGCGCACACACACACGCACACACACACACACACACACACACACGCGCGCGCGCGCACGCACACACACACACACACACACACACACACACACACACACACACACAAACACACACACACACACACACCAAACACACACACCAAACACACTCACACACTACGTTTAAACTATCTACATCTATCTGTGTAATAAGAAAACTACCTTATTACTTACAGAGACGGTGGCGTATTGGGACCAGGGTACAACGCAGACCAACCTATCGGTATACTTAAATGCATATGAAGACAAACAACGCGTCAAACCACTATCACGTTGCGGCTGATATCGCAATCGGTGACAAAACCCTACTTTTGGTTTACACGTTCTATGAAATAAAGTTATAAATATGGAGACAGGAAGTGAATGAGTGTGTTGGTGAATCAGGCAACCATAACTCGGAACTCATTGTACCTCCGCCACCTGCTGGAAAAGAGTCTGTGATGTTTGTTAGAGCCAGGATTTCTGTTTGCAACAAGTCTGTGATGTTTGTTAGAGCCAGGATTTCTGTTGGCAACGAGTCTGTGATGTTTGTTAGAGCCAGGATTTCTGTTGGCAACGAGTCTGTGATGTTTGTTAGAGCCAGGATTGCTGTTGGCAACGAGTCTGTGATGTTTGTTAGAGCTAGGATTGCTGCTGGCAACAAGTATGTGATGTTTGTTAGAGCCAGGTTTTTTCTCCTGGAAACGGGTCTGTGATGTTTTTTAGAGCCAGTTTTGCTGTTGGCAACGAGTATGTGATGTTATTTAGAGGCAGGTTTGCTGCTGGCAACGAGTCTGTGATGTTTGTTAGAGACAGGACTGCTGTTGGCAACGAGTCTGTGATGTTTGTTAGAGCCAGGTTTGTTGCTGGCAACGTGTTTTTTATAATTTTTAGAGCCAGGACTGCTGCTGGCAACGAGTCTGTGATGTTTGTTAGAGCGAGATTTGCTGTTGGCAACGAGTCTGTGATGTTTGTTAGAGTCAGGTTTGCTGCTGGCAACGAGTCTGTGATGTTTGTTAGAGCCAGGTCTTTTCTCCTGGAAACGGGTCTGTGATGTTTTTTAGAGCCAGTTTTGCTGTTGGCCACAAGTCTGTGATGTTTGTTAGAGCGAGGTTTGCTGTTGGCAACGAGTCTGTGATGTTTGTTAGAGCGAGATTTGCTGTTGGCAACGAGTCTGTGATGTTTGTTAGAGTCAGGTTTGCTGCTGGCAACGAGTCTGTGATGTTTGTTAGAGCCAGGTTTCCTGCTGGCAACGAGTCTGTGATGTTTGTTAGAGCGAGGTTTGCTGTTGGCAACGAGTCTGTGATGTTTGTTAGAGCCAGGTTTGCTGTTGGCAACGAGTATGTGATGTTTGTTAGAGCCAGGTTTGTTGCTGGCAACGTGTTTTTGATAATTTTTAGAGCCAGGACTGGTGTTGGCAACGAGTATGTGATGTTTGTTAGAGTCAGGTTTCCTGCTGGCAACCAGTCTGTGATGTTTGTTAGAACGAGGTTTGCTGTTGGCAACGAGTCTGTGATGTTTGTTAGAGACAGGATTGCTGTTGGCAAAGAGTCTGTGATGTTTGTTAGAGCCAGGATTCCTGCTAGCAACGAGTCTGTGATGTTTGTTAGAGCCAGGTTTGCTGCTGGCAACGAGTCTGTGATGTTTGTTGGAGCGAGGTTTGCTGTTGGCCACAAGTCTGTGATGTTTGTAAGAGACAGGATTGCCGCTGGCAACGAGTCTGTGATGTTTGTTAGAGCCAGGTTTGCTGCTGGCAACGAGTCTGTGATGTTTGTTGGAGCGAGGTTTGCTGTTGGCCACAAATCTGTGATGTTTGTTAGAGACAGGATTGCTGCTGGCAACGAGTATGTGATGTTTGTTAGAGCTAGGATTGCTGCTGGCAACAAGTATGTGATGTTTGTTAGAGCCAGGTTTTTTCTCCTGGAAACGAATCTGTGATGTTTGTTAGGGACAGAATTGCTGCTGCCAACGAGTCTGTGATGTTTGTTAGAGCCAGGTTTGTTGCTGGCAACGAGTCTGTGATGTTTGTTAGAGCCAGGATTCCTGCTGGCAACGAGTCTGTGATGTTTGTTAGAGCCAGGACTGCTGTTAGCAACGAGTCTGTGATGTTTGTTAGAGCCAGGTATGCTGTTGGCCACGAGTCTGTGATGTTTGTTAGAGCCATGAATGCTGCTGGCAACGAGTCTGTGATTTTTGTTAGAGCGAGGTTTGCTGTTGGCCACAAGTCTGTGATGTTTGATAGAGACAGGATTGCCGCTGGCAACGAGTATGTGATGTTTGTTAGAGCCAGGTTAGCTGTTGGCAACGAGTCTGTGATGTTTGTTAGAGTCAGGTTTGCTGTTGGCAACGAGTATGTGATGTTTGTTAGAGTCAGGTTTGCTGCTGGTAACTTGTTTTTGATGTTTGTTAGAGCCAGGTTTGCTGCTGGCAACGAGTCTGTGATGTTTGTTAGAGACAGGACTGCTGTTGGCAACGAGTCTGTGATGTTTGTTAGAGCCAGGTTTGCTGTTGGCAACGAGTCTGTGATGTTTGTTAGAGACAGAATTGCTGCTGCCAACGAGTCTGTGATGTTTGTTAGAGCCAGGTTTGTTGTTGGCAACGAGTCTGTGATGTTTGTTAGAGCCAGGTGTGTTGCTGGCAACGTGTTTTTGATAATTTTTAGAGCCAGGACTGCTGCTGCCAACGAGTCTGTGATGTTTGTTAGAGCCAGGTTTGTTGTTGGCAACGAGTCTGTGATGTTTGTTAGAGCCAGGTGTGTTGCTGGCAACGTGTTTTTGATAATTTTTAGAGCCAGGACTGCTGTTGGCAACGAGTATGTGATGTTTGTTAGAGTCAGGTTTGCTGCTGGCAACCAGTCTGTGATGTTTGTTAGAGCGAGGTTTGCTGTTGGCAACGAGTCTGTGATGTTTGTTAGAGCCAGGTTTGTTGCTGGCAACGAGTCTGTGATGTTTGTGAGTGCCAGTTTTGCTGTTGGCAACGAGTCTGTGATGTTTTTTAGAGCCAGGTTTGCTGCTGGCCACGAGTCTGTGATGTTTTTTAGAGCCAGGTTTGTTGCTGGCAACGAGTCTGTGATGTTGGTTAGAGCCAGGATTGCTTCTGGCAACGAGTCTAGATCTGTGATGTTTGTAAGAGCCAGGATTGCTGCTGGTAACGAGTCTGTGATGTTTGTTAGAGCCAGGATTGCTGCTAGCAACGAGGCTTTGGTGTTTGTTAGAGCCAGGTTTGCTCCTGGCAACGTGTTTTTGATGTTTGTTAGAGTCAAGATTCCTGTTGGCAACGAGTCTGTGATGTTTGTTAGAGCCAGGACTGCTATTGGCAACGAGTCTGTGATGTTTGTTAGAGCCAAGTTTGGTGCTGGCAACGGGTCTGTGATGTTTGTTAGAGCCAGGACCAAAGTTGTCACCCAGATGATAGATCGTATATCAGACAGCTTTTTGTATTGTGTCATCAACCTTTATTCAGTATTTCAGCAGACAGATCACAAAATTCACCCCCAATGTTGACATCCATATATTCTTATCCGTAAGGGTGTACGCTTTCTAAGAAACAAAGTAGGTTTGTCTGTGGCCGTTGCTGGAAATATTACGTTGTTTGGCATCAGATAACGAACACATAACTGTAATACACCCGATTTGACCAGCCTGTCAACAATTATCTGCTCTTACAGTAATCCTTGACGAGTTGTCCCCTTTAACTGTATGGGATTTGCTCCTAAGCGCCATACACGCTGACCAAACACTGCACCTCAGAAAATAGAGCCTCCATCGGTTCAGGGGAGGCGGTTCGTCACGGATCGCTGTCTTCCACAAACTTGGTTTATTCTGCCTGCAGTGTTTTATTGTACGATAAACAACTCCCACTCGTCGTTTATTTCTTATATGAGATATGAACACTCTATGTACAGCCTCTTTAAGGATGTTAATGAATTGTACAAGCTTTATAAAAGTATTTTCTCGTATTTAAGTAATGATGACTCACTGAATACAATGTCTGACAAGTCCATTTTATGAACAGAGGAGTTAAGTGTGGTATTTCCTGGATATTCTCACACTCTTTATGTCGATTGTCTGTACCTTTTCTCCAAATACCGATTGTCATATCTCGGCCACTTTTGGAAAGAACCAGCTTGGCTTATTAGTGCATTGATTCGCCGACTCTCTTCCGATACATTCACTGTTCAGCAGATATTGTTTAAGATCATTTAAGAATAATGAATATAGGAGAGGGGAAAGGTTTTCACCCTGTCGTACACCATCATGACAAAAAATATCGTCAGAAACCTGGTTATTATTGCTGATTTTAGATTTGATGTTGTGGTACATATTCTTAACCAGGGTGAAACACCTTCCTTCCATCCCAAGTTTTTTAAATGTATGCCATAGACCATCTCTCAATTCTTTGTCAAATGCTTTAGTGAAAACTATAAAAAAAAAAATATATATAATTTCTTTTTTGATATTTTCATTATTTGCATATACATTTGCATTGTAAACATGTTTTACAAGTAGAAACCCCTTTTCTGAAACCTGCTAGCGCAGGTTTTGAAATGTTTTTATCATCAACAAATTAGTTAATCTGTCTTTCAATATTCGGGTGAAAAGTTTGCCGAAACAACTCAAATTAGTTATAGATATAGGTATGATTTAGGGTCTAGGCGATTGCCCTTCCCTTTACAGATTGGGTTCACAATCCCCGTAGGACCGCCTCCGTGGTCTAGTGGTAGAGCGTCCGCCCGGAGAGCGGAAGGTCCGGGGTTCGATCCCCGGCCGCGTCATACCAAAAGACGTTAAAAGATGGTACTTGTTGTTACCCTGTCTGGCGCTCGGCATTAAGGGGCTAAATCAAGGACTGGTCGGCACGGATTCAGTATACTGAGTGGGGTATTCATCTTAAACTGCGGCATGGTATCTCAGTGAGCTAGCACTATAAATCGGCACCAGTCCAGACTAGTACAAGCAGCCACACACACATACACGTGTATGCACGTCTCTATATAAGTGCAATAATCTTGGACGCGATGTTAAACCCCATTTCACCTCACCTCACATTCCCCGTAAGCCATTTATCTGGCAACAGCCCAGATGATAATATACTCTTCAAAATAAATAATGAACGCAATACGGATATATTTGGCCTTAAAAGCAAAATTAGCGGACCAAGAGGTGCAAAATGAAGAGGTTTCGTGTTTTATAGTGTCAATGACAAATGATCACAACAAGGACTTGCAAACCATTAGCCTGGAAACACGTACGATTCGGAAATAACGCACCCAGTGCATAAACGAAATGGACCACGGAGTTGCACGTACTGCACGTGCAGCAGCATTATGAACGGTATTAAAGTGTAGGGTTTATATTGCCTTGAATCTGCGTCAATCGAACAATGACAGTTTAACAACTAGACAAGATAAAGCAATAACGTCATAGGCCGCTTGAAGGCAGGAAAATCCCGATCAGCTGTAGCCTGGGTTTTCAATGTAGCGCCCAGCACCATCACACGTCCATGGGATCGGTTTCTACAGCATGGGTGATCGGCGAAGGTCGGGACGACCAAGTGTAACTACCCCCTACATCCGAATGCGCCACCTACGTCAAGGACGACCACAGCCACCTCAAACGCATCCAAAATACCCGGACTGCGCAGTATCTCTGTCAAGACCGTACGAATCCGTTTAAGAGCAGCAGGTCTACGAGCAAGACGTCCTGTTCGACGCGTCATATTGAGTCGACAACATTGTCAACAACGACTGCATTGGTGTCGTCAAAACAGGGTATGGCCTCAATTGCGACTGAGAGATGTCTGGTTCATCGACGAATAAAGATTTCTACTCCATCGAGGGGATGGATGAGCACAGGTCTACAGACGCCGGGGAGAAGGTTTGGTAAAAGTAGCGTTATGATGTAGGCGGCTATCTCGCATCATGGCAGGACAGGTTTGGTCCATATCCAGGGCAATCTTACGGCTCAACGATACAACAACGAAATTCTCCTCCAACACGTCCTCCCAATTGCAGCCTACGGCAACCATGTATTCCAGCAAGACAACGCTCGACCGCATACAGCACTGATCACGAGAGCCTGTCTACACAACAACAACGTTGATGTTCTCCCCTGGCCATCAAGATGCCCGGATTTGAACCCGATAGAGCACCCGCGGGATGAATTGGATAGACGGTTACGCCGACGTAAACTACAACCCCAGACGTTGCAACAGTTGGCTTTTGCATTGGAGGCCGAGTGGGCTACAATTCCCCAGGATGTGATTCGCATACTCGCCTCTTCCATAGGCAGGAGATGTCAGGCCTCTATCAGTTCCAACGGGGGACATACGCGTTATTGATGGTAGCTGACCTTCACCTTGGACTTTTCCTATGTACCGATAACTGACTACAATCACCAAGTGTTTTCTCCACAACATTTTGGCTCAATACCTTTTCTGGTTCCTCGTATAAATGTATTTTCCTACCTCACTCAAATCTGGCTTTACGTTTCTTTTCTTTTTTTGAAGAGTATATAACATTAAAGAAATTTGTAACAAACGGGACTAGGGTGCCAATAGCATCCATAAAATAATCATTCTCCATAAAATAATCATTCTCCATAAAATAATCATTCTCCATAAAATAATCATTCTCCATAAAATGCTGTCCTGTAGCTTTTTCCTCTTCAGACCTTGAATTGCAAATATAATTTCTTTGGCGGAATTCTCTGTGTTAAAAACTTAAGTATCTAATGTAAGGTTGCCGGGCCAATTGTCGTCGATGGTTGTATCATGTGTAGAGGGTTCATTACTTTCTGCAAAGTGGGCGTGAACACCACCTATATCTGGTGTAATTCTGTTTTATTACTATCATTGCTATTTAACATTTTCCAAAGTTCTTTTTTGCGTTAGTTCTTAGACATTTGGCGGCAATGAGCTCTATTTTAAGGCGATATATAAAAGCGTTTAGAACCTTCAGGTGGTGTGTACAAACACCCAAAGTAAGTGTCTTGATCAATATTAAGAAATGACTTTCAAAGTTTAGTCCATAACATGTATTGTATTATTTTATAGGCATCACTTTTGAAGATAACGGATGACAAAGTAGACACAATTTGTGGATAACAACTTCTTTAATTACTATAAAGGCGACGTTTCGGTAGGGATCCTTATACCGTTGTCAAGTCAAAGGTATGAGGATCTAAGTTGTCATCCATAAATTGTGTCTACTTTCTGAAAACAGGTACTCGTTATTATCTTCCATAATGGAAACGAAAAATCTATATTTATTTCTCACTGCAATACCAATGCCACCTGATTTCCTTGCTGCTTTAGGTCTGTGCTTCAGGTACATTGTTAAATTATTTATATCGAATTTATCAAGGAAATCTGTTTTTGTTTCTTGTAGGCCAACAACATTACCTTTCTCAATCAAATATGAATACTAAAGCAGACGGAATATACCCATACATTGGTGTACATTTCCGATGTAAAAACAACATACTTTGTTCAAAAGATTAGCCGATAATACGGCGACTGATTGCTCATTATTATCTAACTCGCTGGATCTTTTAAAGAACCGTGGACATAGTTGTCACATGTGCTATCTCAACTGACCAATGAGACTTTGCCCCTATGTGAAACACCGGAGGTGCCTTCAATAAGCCGTTGGGTGCCGATGCGGCAGCGAGCGAGTGCCTCCGAATATATCCTAATGACGTAACGCATGCCGTGCGCACTTTCTAGCGCCTCCGCGCACACTGAGGAGGAGGAGGCACACTGAGGAGGAGGCACACTGAGGAGGAGGAGGCACACTGAGGAGGAGGAGGCACACTGAGGAGGAGGCACACTGAGGAGGAGGAGGCACACTGAGGAGGAGGAGGAGGCACACTGAGGAGGAGGCACACTGAGGAGGAGGAGGCACACTGAGGAGGAGGCACACTGAGGAGGAGGAGGCACACTGAGGAGGAGGAGGCACACTGAGGAGGAGGAGGCACACTGAGGAGGAGGAGGAGGCACACTGAGGAGGAGGAGGCACACTGAGGAGGAGGAGGCACACTGAGGAGGAGGAGGCACACTGAGGAGGAGGAGGCACACTGAGGAGGAGGAGGAGGCACACTGAGGAGGAGGAGGCACACTGAGGAGGAGGAGGAGGCACACTGAGGAGGAGGAGGCACACTGAGGAGGAGGAGGCACACTGAGGAGGAGGAGGAGGCACACTGAGGAGGAGGAGGCACACTGAGGAGGAGGAGGCACACTGAGGAGGAGGAGGCACACTGAGGAGGAGGAGGCACACTGAGGAGGAGGAGGCACACTGAGGAGGAGGAGGCACACTGAGGAGGAGGAGGAGGCACACTGAGGAGGAGGAGGAGGCACACTGAGGAGGAGGCACACTGAGGAGGAGGAGGCACACTGAGGAGGAGGAGGCACACTGAGGAGGAGGAGGAGGCACACTGAGGAGGAGGAGGCACACTGAGGAGGAGGAGGCACACTGAGGAGGAGGAGGCACACTGAGGAGGAGGAG